GTGAAAAAAAACCAAAATGGTAATATGGATAATGGTAAAAAAAAAAAAATGGTAATGTGGATAATGGTAAAAAAACAAAATGGTAATATGAATAGTGGTAAAAAAAAAATGATAATATGGATAATGGTAAAAAAAAATGGTAATATGAATAATGGTAAAAAAACAAAATGGTAATATGAATAATGGTAAAAAAAAACAAAATGGTAATATGGATAATGGTAAAAAAAAAATGGTAATATGAATAATGGTAAAAAAAAAAACAAAATGGTAATATGGATAATGGTAAAAAAAAACAAAATGGTAATATGGATAATGGTAAAAAACCAAAATGGTAATATGGATAATGGTAAAAAAAAACAAAATGGTAATATGAATAATGGTAAAAAAAAAAAAATGGTAATATGGATACTGGTAAAAAAAACAAAATGGTAATATGGATACTGGTAAAAAAAAAAAAAAAAAAAAGGTAATATGAATAATGGTAAAAAAAAAGGTAATATGAATAATGGTAAAAAAACAAAATGGTAATATGGATAATGGTAAAAAAAACCAAAATGGTAATACAGATAATGGTAAAAAACCAAAATGGTAATATGAATAATGGTAAAAAAACCAAAATGGTAATATGGATAATGGTAAAAAAAACAAAATGGTAATATGGATAATGGTAAAAAAAAAAAAAAGTAACATGGATAATGGTAAAAAACCAAAATGGCAATATGGAAATACCACTGTTAAAATAGTGCTCAATACATCAATTATAGAGTGATATAGAAATACCACTGTTAAAACAGTGCTCAATACATCAATTGTAGAGCGATATAGATATACCACTGTTAAAATAGTGCTCTATACATCAATTGTAAAGTGATATAGAAATACCACTGTTAAAATAGTGCTCTATACATCAATTGTAAAGTGATATAGAAATACCACTGTTAAAATAGTGCTCTATACATCAATTGTAGAGTGATATAGAAATACCACTGTTAAAACAGTGCTCAATACATCAATTGTAGAGCGATATAGATATACCACTGTTAAAATAGTGCTCTATACATCAATTGTAAAGTGATATAGAAATACCACTGTTAAAATAGTGCTCTATACATCAATTGTAAAGTGATATAGAAATACCACTGTTAAAATAGTGCTCTATACATCAATTGTAGAGTGATATAGAAATACCACTGTTAAAATAGTGCTCTATACATCAATTGTAGAGTGATATAGAA